GTCGTGGAAGGGCAGTGGACGAGCTAGTACGCAAGCCTCGACAACGATGGGATGAGGGAGACTTTTTGTACGAGAGCTCGTCCAGCGATGACGAGGATTTTTTCGGGACTAGCAGGCCTGCACAGGATGGCGACAGCGATTTCGACGACCGTCACCCGAACGTGGGCGACGACGATGGCGCCAGTGGCGATGATCACGGTGACGGAGGAGATAGGCCACGACCTGCACATGGTGACACGATGCGTGCCGACGGGGCAGGGGGCAAGCACCGCACAGCAGTAGATCACGCTCGAGATGGAGTGCATGATGATGGTTCACGACCTGTCTCGGGCGGTAACCTAAGGCGCTTGAAACGTGGACCAAGGGAAAAAGACACTATCGCTTCACGTGTGCGCAAACGTCATGGTGTGGTTGCTAGCATTCCACTATCACGAGTCCCCGCAACTGGGCAGATTCCAGTTTCTGAGGACTCTTTCAGCGATCACGGCGGCGAGGAGCGGATCGAGCTGCATRGCGGGAGCGGTCATCCACGAGGTGACACTTCGAGTATGCACGCGACAGCTCCGATGGGGCCTTCCGCAGCAGTCCCAGAATCGCAACAGGGTCCAGCACCGTTGATGCGTCATCCCGAGGTTCAGGGAGAGATCAGTCCTCTCCCGGCAGTGCGGGACGAGGGTTCTGTCGGTGCACTGCTTCCACTCACGTCTGCCGGAGCGACAGTCTCAGTTGCAGCGACCTCGGATGTGGGACAACCACTGGCAGCGGYGGAGCAAGAAAGTATGCTCCCACCTCGCAGTGTTCAACCGCAGCCACCGCCTGCATTGATGGAGGGGAGTCAGGGGACCGTTGTTGTGTGTCAAGGCGACGATCTCCCGGAACGTGATATCTCACACACTCCCGCTGCCGAGYAGAGCGYCGCAGACCATGTCGGCCTCGCATGCCCCACCGRCAGTCTTCCGGGTACCGGCGAGTTACTGACCATGGACTCTGCGCTCGTTTCTCTACCGGACTTGTCGACGTTGATATCCCCAGGTCTACCCCATGTGTCACCGCCCAAGCCACAACAGCCTGTTGTCATCGAACGTGGATCGGACGGGTTTGACGTGGCAGGAGGCGATATCGCCGATATGATTACGAGCCCAATGGTGTCTGCCACGCCCACAATTTTTCGTGTTGGCAAACTACGYGAGGTGGCCCTTGGTTTGGCAGAGACGGCGACGCGACACCGCCACGACGGTCAGCGTAGCATCGCACAACGCAGTCTTTCTCATTCGTTTGACGGCGCAGAGGAAGGGTCTCCTGGTGGGCCAGTTGACACACTCGATAGAGAAGCAAGACCCCCAAGTCCGCCGTCAAACTTAGAGCATCATCCGATTGCCGCGGATGTCGGCGCAGATGCGGGCGTCCCTGTCACAAACAGTGCCGCAGACGCGACATAACAGCTTGTGGTTGGGTCATCGKCGACAGCACGGCGCGACAGAGCCACTGTTTTGCCGACAGTGGCATTCTATGCCAGCGAGAAGAGTACTGGGGGGATGGATGAGCAGGGAGTCCGGAATGTTGGCAGGCCATCTGCACCGTCTATGGAAAAACGATCCATTGGGAGTGTGGATGGTGTTCGGCACACCGCCATGGCCGAGTTTGAGGACCGACACGAGAGTGCTTTGCCGACGAAGACGTTTGATGTCCATGCTACGAGAGCCGCAAAGGCGAGTCTTTCTCGGGCAAGGAAGAAGGCCTCGGCAAGGAAGGCGTCACGTTCATCCTCACATATGCGTTCCCGAGAGAGAGGATCGGGCGTTGTGCATCTSGAGGACGGAGAGATTGCACCTGACGGCGACGCATTGGATGTTGGAGGGAAGGATGCAACGACGGCGGATATCGTCGGCAGGGAGGGCACAGGGAATGCAGTGGCAGGTCAGAAGAGACGCGGCAATGTACTTATCGTCCACGACGACAGCACAGATGTCGCCCCGGGAGAGACCACAGGCACTGATGATGCAGGGGACTCCGATTACGTACCCAAACCACGGGCGGCAGATGGAGATGATGGAGGAGGGCGACGAGTGAGACCGAGGACACGACTCGGGCTGCAAGGGGAGCGAGCACAGGGCACACCATCGCCGATGATTCCTGCCCCCATAGATCGGCGAGCTCAGGCACAGCGGTTGCTGCGCAAAATGGAGGCCACTCTTCAACAGACGCACGGGTTATCGCTTGGCCGCGAAGAGACAGAGACTCAGAGACAGGGAGAGAG